GCAGCAGCAGCAGCAGCAGCAACAGCAGCAGCTCAACCAGGCTTCCCAGTCTCAGCAATCGCAATCCCAACAGCACGCACTCCACTCCCCAGCAAACCAGCAAAAGGCCAACACCACAATCTACCCTCCACAGCCTTACGCCAGCTCCTCCACCTTTTCCGCCCCGAACCACGTCGCCTCTCCCAACGGCTCCGCCAAACCCAACACCCCCACCGCACAGTCCGTCATCATGACAAAGAAGCGCACCGCCAGCAAGAGCCCCGACTTTGAGTCCAAGGACAAGCGCTCACGGCCCGACGACCCCGCCGCCTCCAACGACTCCAAGCCAAACGATGCCAACGCCGCCCACCCCAGCTCCGTCCCCGACGGTCGCGTGTGGGGTGAAGAGGCCACCAAGCTCGACGTCTACGTCTGGGACTACCTTAGCCGCAGAGGCTTCAGCTCCGCAGCAAAGGCGCTCATGAACGAGGCCGGCATGGCAGAGCCTCCGGAGGTGCCGCTCAAGACGCCCCAAGGCCTCCTCTTCGAGTACTGGGCCATCTTCTGGGACGTCTTTGCCGCTCGCTCCGGTCGCGGAGGCACCGAGGCCGCCGCCTACTTTGAGTATCAGGAATCCCGCAACATGCAGCGACTCGCCGACGCCAACCGCAAGGCAGAGGCCCTCGAAGCGCAGTACCAGCCTCCCGAGAACGACTCTCGCTTCCCCAACATTGTCATGTCCGCACAAGCCTCGGATCCCAACTCGTCCGCTGCCGCCGCTGCCGTCGCAGCCGCTGGCGGTCCCAACGGTCGCGCACCTGCTCCCGGCGCTTGGAACCCAGCCGCCCTGCCACAGGCGCAGCAACAGCAGCTGCTCATCACGGCCGCCCAGCGCCAGAACATCCCACTGCACGAGATCAAGAACCTCACGCCCGCATCCAGGATGGCCCTGATCAACTCGATGAATCCGCACAACCCGGCCAACGCGCAAGCCGTCCGTCCCGGCATGAACAATCCGCTCATGGAACAGCAGCTTCAGGCTCGCCTCCAACAGCAGCAGGCGCTTCATCGGATGATGCAGCAGCAACGCCAGGTCGGCGCACAGCCGCCCATGCCTCCACACGCCGGGCTCGCCGGTGCCGCGCCGATGCCAGGCGCCATGCAGGTGCGACCGCCTGTGGGCCACCCTCAAATGCCCGGCGCAGCGGGCTCGCCTGCTCCTCCCACTCCCGGCGGACCCATGGATGGTCGACGCTCCGTCGGCCCCGGTGGCGAGGGCATCCGTCCCGACCACATGGCCGGTCCCTCGGTTGGCCTGGCGGGCGCCCATCCCCAATCCCAGCAGCACCAGCAGCAGCCCGGCCAGGCGCAGGGCGGCCCGCAGCAGCCACAGACACAGCAGCCTGGCGGTCCGCCCCAGCCAGGCCAGGTGCCCGGCCAACAGCAGCAGCAGCAGCAGCAGCAGCA